CAGAAAGTCACTCCAAAAAATTGTGAGAGGAAATGTCTATACTTTACTTTGATTAATGTTGAAAATGGGGTTTCTAATCACAATCTGAAGATCTGGGCCTAAATGTACTATGTGGCTGCATTGAGAAGCATGTTTTGAACCTAAGCAATATTCCACATGTAGTTTTCCCTCTCATTATTTGCTAATAATGAATTAGAACAGAAATTTCAAATATTGGCAAATAGTGTTAGTAAATAGGAATGTAAATTGCAATGAAGTAAGAAATTTACAAATGCATATGGTGAACAGTGAATGGGCCAAAATTTGCCAGATGAAGTTTAACATAGGTAAGTTTGAGGTTGTCCATTTTGGTTGGAAGAATAAAAACACAACTTATGATTTAAATGAAGAGAAACTTCAAAATGCTTCATGCAAAGGGTTCTGAGAGTCTTTGTGTATTAGTCGCAGAAAACTTGTATGTAAGTATAGCAGGTAATAAGAAAAGTAATTTGCCATTTATTGCTAAAGGAATCAAGTATAAAAGTGGGAGGTGCTGTTGCAACTCTACAAGGCATCTGGGGTACTACATACAGTTTTGGTCCACTTGAGGAGGTATGTAATTGTATTGGAGGCAGTTTAGAGGAGGCTCACTAGATTGATTCCAGAATTGAAAGGTTTCTCTTGTGAAGATAGGTTGAGCAGTTTAGGCCTATACTCTCACCAGAGTTCAGAAGGATGAAAGGAGATCTAATTGAGGTATACAAGAGGCTGAAGGGAACTGACAAAGTAAACATAGAAGGGATGTTTCCTCATGTGGGAAGACCTAGAACAAGAGGTCATAGTTTTAAGCCAACAGATGGAAAGTTTAAAATAAAGATGAGGGGAATTACTTCTCCTAAAGGGTTGTGAATCTGTGCAATTCCCAGAGTGTGGTGAATATCAGGACACTAAATAAATTTAAGGAGTTTAGTCATTGGTTGAAGGGTTATGGGGAGCAGGCAGGAAAGTGGAGTTTAGGCTGAGATGAGATCAGCCATGATTGTAATCAAATGGCAGCAAAGACCTATTCCCGCTCTTATTTATTTTGGTGTTAATTGTGTGTGATCAATCCCAAATACCATCAACAGTGCCACAAGTTCTATGTACCCACAGAACGCGGATATTCCCAAGAACTTACACTGCAATATTATTTTCTAGAGTAAATAGTACTCCTCATACTTCCACTTGCCAAATAAATTATGGAAAATGTCTTTTACATTTGTGAATGAGTGCGTATCATTGTGGTCACTAAGCTAACTTTTACAACACACAGAAGGGAAAAGTTCTTTGACAAACATAAGTTTGTGTATTATTTCTAATTCATCTCCTCCAACTAAAGCTGTACATTGTGACACCATTATTCATTGCTAGAATGATGACTGAATAATTTCCCCAGCAAACACATTTGGAGACCTCACTGCTGCACACGACAGGGGTTAATACTGCTCACTTAATGTGTATGTAACTATCTCCAATCACTGCATGTTGCTGGAGGTATCATCTGGCATTAACCAGAAAAAGCTTGCAGTGGTTACGTTTATGACATCTTCCTTAAAAAAATGTAAAAATAGATTCTGCAATTGGTCTTTGTTTCTTGGAATATAAATTGTTCTTTCTCAATGCTGACCCAAGTCCCAGTCCTTCCTGACAGACACCATATAGTCAATAGTGATTTTGCGTAATTAAGTTGCCCTAGCACTGCATCAGGTAACAGACTACTCAGGATTTATCTCACAGTCTGACTACACAGCTCAAAATGCTCTCTCCAGGAATAAGTCTCAACAGTAGGGGCCAAACCAATAATTGTGTTACTGGTCCATATGGAGAAAGTTTAAAAATTTCACATATTTACTGAATTCTTAATACTATCAATAAATATTCCGCAGAATTAATTCTAGTCCTGCATTCTCCAGAATATTCCTACTGTACACATTCAGATTACCCCACATTATGGCCCTCTGAGTTCTCAAAATAGTAGGGATCCATCAGCAGCCTGTGAGATGTGGAAGTGATATTTTCTGTCACAGTTAGTACCATTATGTACTTTGTGTACTCTTTGCAGGCCTAGCCTGCCCATACAGGCAAAGTAGGCAATTGCCTAGGGTGATACATTTTAACAGATGCCAAATTCATCATTTTGAACGCCAAGTTAATAAAAATAAAATTTCATTCTAGACTTCTCATTTTTCTTTATATTGGATATTCAAGGTCAGGCTTTTCACTATGACATTACCTGAGAACAGCAATTACCAGTTGGAATAGGGGACTGCATTTCTAAAAATCGATAGGGGAGGTTGGCTTTGAAAACTGTATGAGAGGGGCATGGAGGCTAGAGATCAGAGAAATACCAGATGGAGGAGAATGGCAAATGCAAAGAGAGGGTGACACAAACACACTGATTAGACACACAGCAATGCAGTTGACTCTTAACTGCTCTCTGAAACATAATGAGGGAGCCACATTAGATTAGCGTTAGCTTTATTCTCACCTGTACTCAAAAGAGTTCAGTGAAAAGTTTACGAGTCATAATTTACAGCGCCAACTTAGCTACAAAGGTATCTAGGTACATTCTTAAGTACAAATTCTTGGGGAAAATAACTTAGAAAAATAAAGAAATACAAGTCTAGCATTACGGATCATAGGAATAAATTAGAAAAATAAAGAAAGAAAAGTTCAGAATAACACACCTTCCAACCAAGTCGAGACCGGCACCTAGCTTCTACTCCACATCGGGCTTCACCTTGAGGCCAGAAGTCTATGCTAAGGCTATGCCGGGCTGGGAGACAGCCACACTGGGCCACCACATAGTTCAAGGGCAATAAGAATGGGTAATAAATGGTGGCCCAGTTAGAGAGAGAGAGAGAGAGAGAGAGAGCGAGATTGGCTACTGGGCTGAGATGAACATGGTGACCAGGGAATGGAGGCAGGGACAAAGACTGGGGAGTGAGGCAGGGACAGTGACTGGGCGTGGGAACAGTGATTGGAGAGAGGGGGCTAGGACAGTGACCAGGGACCTTGGGCAAAGACTACTGTGTTGACAAGGATCTGGGGGCTGGGACACAGAGGCATACTTAGGAACATGGGCTGGCAGGGACTGCGCTGAGAGAGCGATTGAAACCTGAGACCCTTTGCATAAACATTGAAAGTTTGTTCACATTGGCAAATGAAAATGCAGTCTTCTCTTGGCCAAAGCTGGAGGAAGATCATTCAACCAAGGGCTATTAAACCATACAATCCTTCAAAACATGTGAGGTAGGTGCTGGAGTTTAATTTTAAGGAAAGGAAATACAGTTTCAAAAATAAACACAATGGAATCTGGGAAGAATGGGGGGAAGAACTATTTCAGCACCAAGCTCTGACATGAAAATTTCAACCAATCCAAGATCCTGAACTCAGAAAATAGCTTAAAATTACTGGCCCAATGTACTGTCTGGAACAGGTTTTAGCTTAGTGATGCGAGCTGTCTCCAACTCTACTGTGTAATCCCTGGAATCAACTTGGACCGTCTATAAACTTCCCAACATTACAGCATATTCACTCTAGTAATAGTTACCTAAAAGCACAAAAAGGCTAAAGGTTCCAGGTTGTCTATGCTCAACAGATTGCCCAGCCTAATGAAAAATCAGCATGTCACTTGGATGGTCTATTTTGAACTGCAATGGCATCAGAAAGCAAGGACATCTGGTCTTTGTTAAACTGTATTCCCTAGACACATTCAGAAGTCATCATGCATGGAGCAAGTCAGAAATACAATGTGAACATTAATGACCAATTATGATATTGGCTTAATTGACTTTGGAATGTTGACCAAGATATCAGAACTCTTTGTTCCTCTTTGAATAATGCTGTTGTATCCTGAATACGGACCTGAATGGGTAAACTGAGCAGAATCTGAAGGGCAGCAGCTTTACTAAAACAGCATTCTCTTTGTTCCTTGTGGTATGTTAAACCAGTGACTTTCTGATTCAAAAGCAACAGTCTTATCAATGAGCTAAGCTGACACCTCAGCTGAATGATATTGGAGGGGTGGGCTGGGCAAGTCGAATAAAATGATCAACGAAAGACTAAAACTGAAATTTGAAAGTGACAGGATTAGGTCAGTTTTCAAAGACATTCTTTCCTGTTAACAACATCAGCAATCATTTACAGTAAGTCTAGACACACTCCAGAAAACACTAAAATAGAGCGAGCACACATAAGTACTCTTGCTCAGTAAAGCAAAACTTTCCACATTTTGAACATCCCCTGCTTCCTTTCTTGATGAACTTTCATGACAATCCCACCACTGTGAAGAATTTCCTGTTATTGCTCAGAAACTAGCTCCCCAGAATGTTTGATCTGGGTCATATTAAAATGGGGAAATCGATGGCCAAGTGGTATAATCGCGAGACGATTAACCCAGAAATTCAAGTATTTTCTGGAAAATCACTCTCTTTTGTTCATAGAAAGGCCAAAATCCACATCAGAACAGAATTATAATTTGACTATTATAAAAAATGAAGTCTTATCTTTAATAATCTCAGGCCATCAACATTGAGCTCACAACTTATTCCCCAATTTAAAATAAAGCCTGTTTGAGCAGTGCAACTGAAAGTCCTTAAGGCCATTAGCACTTTGGGACACTTCCTTTGACATGTGTCCCAAAGTACTAATGGCTTTAATAAAAACACAGATTCAAAAAAAACAAAGTTTCAGCAGTGTAAGCCCAGGAAATTGTGGATATGCTGCTGGACAAGAGCCAATTGGTAGTGCAATCTAACTACCCCTAACGCAACCCTTGGAACAAAACACTCTTGCAAGATGGCAAACCTAACAAAATGCAAGCACAAACCAAAAAACATTGCCAAATCAAGGTCAAAATGTTCTTCCTTCTAGAGTATCCCAGTGACACTGCCTGTCCTTCTACATCTAAACAAATTCCAGTTCAATGCATCCCCAAAATAATTCGAATAGAATGCATTATTCCTGCACAGCCCATGTACCTTCCTGAACTTCTCCATCTGTTTGTATGTGTCAGGATCCAACTCCTGAGAGACATCCTTCATCCAGAGCAGCGCCCCCCTGTACTCTGTCCGGCACTGTTCCATCCGGTTCACTGTGAGGAGAGTATCAGTGACTGCTCGTCGCCGGAATGTCTCCACTTCCTGCTCCAGTCGGACCAGAGGGACACGCAGTGCTAACCTGGAATGAGCAAAGACAGTAAGTGGCTGGATTACACAACACCAGACATATTTAGAATATTAAATAAAAACCAAAAGTACTGCAGATGCTGTAAATCAGGAACAAAAACAACATTGCTGGAAAAGTTCAGCAGGTCTGGCAGCATCTGTGAAGGAAAAAACAGTTAATGTTTCGGGTCCGGTGACCCTTCCTTTAGAATTTAGAATACTAGTATTCAGGGAATGGCGGAGAGGATTGTACTAAAAACCAACATACTGCTGGTTTTTCTGATATTCTTAGTTTCGCAGTTCTCATCACTGTACCTAGCAGTGAGACCTTCAACCACTAGCACTTCAGTCTATGTCCGGGCATTACACGTGTCTGGGTCTGGCTGCTTCTCAGTGCACACAATGGGCATTTAAAATGTTATATATTTCTCCAAGTCCTTAAGAGACGATGCTCAATGCAATGCCATCTTTTCTGCAATGACATCCCATATTACCAAACATGCAACCAATTTCAGCACCAATGTTAAATTTATCCTCCCTGCAAATCAACATATCTAATTCTTCTGAGGAAGGGTCTCGACCCGAAACATCAGCTTTCCTGCTCCTCTGATGCTGCTTGGCCTGCTATGTTCATCCAGCTCTACACCATGTTATCTTACATCTAATTGGCTCCCAGAATACCACTGCAGAAACAAATTTCCCAAATAATTTTGGACTGAAATGTTTACACAACAGTGGATTCCATTAATTCAGCATCATCTGAGAATCCTTCCATGGCTTGTATTGTTATTGCAATAGAAATAGTTACCCCTTACCCACAATGGGGAGCCTGAAGCTCAAGTCTTCAACTGAACCACAATACGCATTCAATTTGCTGACAAATAAAAATTGCATGCACTCTATTATCATCAGAGATGAAATCACATGGAGTGAACATATATCCACGGATTATTTCATTTCTCAACCAACAGCATACATGTGGAAACAGCAGACATCAGGTGAGACAACAAGTACAAGGGTGAGCTGAGTCTGGTGAGTGAGTGTACCTTTGCTTTGCAGAACCACACAGGGCTTTACTGGTGGCATTCATCATCCTGCCAGCTGGGGTTTTATCTTGCTCGCTTTGTCCCTTCAGGAACATGCCCAGCTCATTCTCCTCCTGGGATAGAGCTGCAATGGTCAAGTTAGACAGCAATTACCATTAGAATCACAATGAATTGTCGAGATACATGGTCACACAGCTGTCCTTAAAGATAAGAAATTCTAATTTAGAATGAAAGAGCTGGAGAAGCTCATAGGTATGGCAGCATCTGTGGGGAGAGAAATAGAGTTAATGTTTTGAGTTCAGTCTGATTTCTTCAGAAGAGTCATATTTTGTTTGAAATTTCTAGCACCGCAGTATTTCACTTATATTCTAATTTAGACTTTGCATTTATAAGGCTACTTAAACAGAGCAAAGGACTTTCAAAGGATCTTAAGGAAACAAGGACACTCAAGATGACAATACTAGGGATTACGGCCAAAAAGTTAGTCAGAGAGTATTAAGGGGATCTTAAAAGAGGAGTTCTTCCTCCTCAGCATTTGATGCCTATCCCTATTTGTCCTTGAACAGAGTGGTTAGCCTGCCATTTCAGACAGATGACTAGACTGGTCACATTACCACTATGCCAGGTTTGGGGACGGTCAACAAGACAATTTAATAAGGTACATAAGCAAAATACTGCAGATGCTGGAAATCTGACACAAACACAGAGAATGCCAGAGAAACTCAGCAGGTCTGGCAGCACTTGTAGAGAGAAAAACAGAATTAGAGTTTCAAATCCAGTATGACTCTTCTTCAAAACTGAACTTGATATAGTGGGTTTACATCTTTGCAGGCTGCCAGTGGTTGGTGAACCAAGGAGGCAATAGAGCCTAGAAATCTAGGGTGGGGGCAGAGGGCAAGGGAATACTGCAGGGCTGGAGCCTGTTGCATGTATGACAGGGTGAAACCATGAAGGGGCACAAACACAAGGATGTGGTGCCAGTGGGCCATGAGCCAATGCAGATCGGCAACTCAAAGATGATGAGTGAATGTGATTTGGTTGGTGTTGAGGGGACCAGAGTTTTAGATAAAGTGAAGTTTACACTGGGTGAAGATTGGAAGCTGGTCAGGAGGACTTTGGAGTTGTGAAGTCTGAAGGTGAAGAGGCCATTGGTGAGGAATCCAGCAGCAGAGCAAGGACTCTTAAATTGAGAAGCATGGGTCTTTTGTAAAGAACTGAACAATAAAAGACTCAGTTTAGACATGTAATCTCTTGCTGCTTTCACAAGGCAACACTTTAGCCAATGCACACTGTAACAGACAGAATTGAAGGCTAATCACCTTAACATTGTCTAAATCCCTTCCACATCGTTATCAGGATCACTCAGGGAGAACTCAAGAATTAAGGTTAGAGGTCCTAGCATTGGCAAACCTTGATCTGACATATTAAACGGGGCAAGTCTAAACATATTATCACTAGAATATTAATCCAGAGACTCAGATTATTGTTCCGGGGACCGAGGCTCGAATTTGAATGCAATAGCAATCTGGAATTAAGAGTCTAATGATAACCAAGAAATCACCATCAATTATTGGAAAAATCCATTTCGTTCACTAACATAAACCACATTAGGTGATTCACTTTTACGGAAGGAAATTGTCTGGTGTATATGTAAATCCATACCCACAGCAATGTGGTTGACTCTTGGTCATTGAGTCATAGAGATCCACAGCAAAGAGAAAGGCCCCTTTGGCCCTTTGCATCTGCACCAGTCAGAAACAACAAAACAATTCTAGTCCCATTTGGCCTATAGTCTTGTATGCCTTGGAATCACAAGTGCACATCTCAGTACTTATTAAATATTAAGAGGGTTTCTGCCTCTACCATTCTCACAAGCAGTGAGTTCCAGGTTCCCACCACCCTCTGGGTGAAAATGCTTTTCCTCACATTTCCTCTAAACCTTCTGCCCCTTGCCCTAAATCTTTGCACCAGGTCATTAATCCCTCCATCAAGGGGAAAAGTTTCTTTCTGCCCACACTATCTATTCCCCTCATAATTTTATACATCTTAACTATGTCCCTTCTCAATCTCTTCCCTAGTCTGTCCAATCTCTCTTCATAACTGAAACTTTCCAGCCCAGACAACATCCTAGAAAACAAAAACAGAAATTGCTGGGAAAACTCAGCAGGTCAGGCAACATCTGTGGAGAGAAAACAGAGTTAATGTTTCGAGTCCACTGGCTCTTCATCACTGGGCTCTAAACATCAACACTGCTTTCTTTCCACAGATGTTGCCAGACCTGCTGAGTTTTTCCAGCAATTTCTGTTTTTGTTTCTGATTTCTAGCATCTGCAGTTCTTTACTTTTTTTCCCTGTTAACATCCTACAAAATCTCTGCGCCCTCTCCAATGCTATCAGATCCCTCCTATAATGTGGATTCCAGAACTGCACACAATACTTTAGCTGTGGCCTCACCAAAGTTTTATCAGTTCCTGCTCTTAAACTCTATGTCTTGATTAATAAAGGCAATATCCCACACGTGGTCTTAGCCATTTCATCCACTTGTCCTGATACCTTACGGATCAGTGTACATACACATCAAGGTCCCTTTGATCCTCGGTGATTCCCAGGGTCTATCATGTGTTCCCTTGCCTTGACTGTCTTGACCAACTACACAACTTCCCATTTATCCCAATTGAATTCCGTTTTCCACTGATCAACCCATCTGACTAGCCCATCTAAATTCTCCTGTAATCTAAGGTTATCCTCTGCACTATTTACCACTTGACCAATTTTTGTATCTTCTGCAAACTTACTGATCAACCCGCCTACATTCAAATCTAAATCATTTATGTAAACTAAAAACAGCAAAGGACCTAACACTGGCCTTTGTGGGATCCCACTGGACACAATCTTCTAGTCGGAAAAATACAACTCTGTTTCTTGCCACTCAACCAACTGTGGACCCAATTTGCCAAATTTTCTGGTAACGCATGGGTTCTTACCTTTGCTATCAGTCTCCCATGCAGGATCTTATCAAATTCCTTGTTGAAGTCCAAGTAAACTACATCTAAACCACAGCAGCTCATCTACACATCTAAGACTATATCTTAAATGGGCTCTGGGCTATAAATGCTGCTCTAGCCAACAACAACCTATATTGAATGTGAATGAGTAAAAGAAAACCTTGAACCTTCTTGAGTGGTGAGCCTTCACTTCACATTTGATCCAGCCAGAGATGACAAAACCCCTCATAAATCAGGCTTGGGCAGGCTTAACCCAATTTATTTTGGCTATGGATAGAAATATAATTTGCACATACCTCTTCAGGTAAGCCCCAAGGTAGGCTGATGTGGGAGAAAGAAGCACGAGGCAGATTCACTTTGATGGAGGTGGAAACACTTTTGGAGTAAGGTATGTAGTTGTAGCAAAGGAGAGAGGCCTTCACTCTCTGACTTACCAACCTGCAATTGACCTGACAGCATATGCCACAAGCAATGAGTGCCTGAAATAGAAACTACTCAGTTCTTGCTGTTACAAGTGTGAATCTTACTAATTGGAGACGATCGTTTCAGTAGCATCGCACTAAAGCCAACACTGTTATTCCAATGTAAGACAATTGAAAAAAATAATTTTAAGAAGTTATATTTGGAAACGAATGTTGCGCTCTTCAAAGTGAGCAATGTTAGCAGTACAGACTGGAACACTGGGTTTCAGTCATGCCCTGTCAGGGGGAGCCAGATCTTTCAGATCACGTATAGCACGGTTAGAGATGCAGACTAAAATTTGCCATGGCCCTAGTCCAAGTGGACACATTTCCACTTCTTGTAGCAGTCACCCCATGGCCTGACTGCCAATTCGTTGCTGATCACTCCCAAATTTGTTCAACTGGAACCAGGATTCAGACTGCAAAACTCCATTTCATGTCTTCTAGGCAGCTTAATGGTATCATCGCATGACTACTAATTCAGAGACCAAGTAATGTTCTGGGAACCAGGGTTCAAATCCCAACCTGGCAGATGGTGGAATTTGAAATGAATGAAAAAATCTGGAACTAATACTCTAATAACGATCAGGAAACCATTGGCAATTGTCATAAAAACTCATCTGGTTCACTAATGCCCTTTAGGAAGGGAAACTGTCATCCTTACCTGGTCTGTGCTATATGTGACTCCAGACCCACAGCAACGTGACTGACTCTTCACTGTCCTCTGAAGTGGCTCAGAAAACCATTCAGTTACATCAATCATGTAAAAGGAAGGAAGGATTGAAGCCGGAAAGATCACCTATCTTTGACTAGGCACATCTAAACCAAGTGGACTGCAGCAAGTCAAGAAGACAGTTCATGAATTACCCACCTTACCCAGAGCAACTAGGGATGGAGCAATAAATGTTGGCCCAGAGAGCGATGACCACATTCCATGAGTGAGTAAAGAAAGCAAACAGCAGATGTTTTAATCCCCTCAAATTAAATTAAAATATCATTAGAACCACTTAATGGTTACAGCATAAGAGGAGACTTCACATGTTCATTCTGGCTGTCAGCTGGAGCAAATCACATAGTCCCAATCCCTTAGCCTTGCCCTCTGGCCCTGCAATGCTTTCCCCCTTATAGAAGTTTCAAAGTTTGTTTCTCTGCACTCCTTTTGGATATGGTGATTATGGCATTAGGAATTTGGTCATTGGTGATGACGGATACAAATTCACCCCAATTTTTGTTGTTCTGCAGAAGCAGTCTCTCCATACAGCTGGTAGAAAAATATCCTGGTAGAAAAATGTGCAAATAGCACCACCTACAGACACAAATCATTTTGATACTTCTAAAGCAGAATCAGGCCCAAAAGCCTAGGTTTTTTATGACTCTACCAATTAAGATACAATTAGAGGCACTTGCACCAAAAATAAAGTTGGGATCAATGAGTTAGGGTTGTTATCATCAGCAATCACTCGCTAATGAATATGATAGTCCACCTAGGACATTCAGTATCACTGGTCATGGGTTCTGTGGGTCCTTGCATGGCTGATCTATCTTTTAGTTGGGATGTAGCATATGCTACAGTATAGGCGATGAAGCAAACACAGTATTCTGTTTCCTGTCACAAACACATCAATTCGGAGCAGAAGTAGGCCACTCAGCCCCTTGAGTCTGCTCCACCATTCAATAAGATCTTGGCTGATCTGTTTGTGGTCTAAACTCTACATTCCCATTCCATTTCCTCCTCTCCATCCACGCCACTCCTAATAACTTTGACCCCCTTGTTAGTCAAGAAACCATCTCCTCTGTTTAAAAATATTCAATGACATCACTTCCACTGCTTTCTTGGGAAGACAGCTGCAAAGACTCGCGGCCCTCAAATAGAAAGAAATTCTTCTAATTTCTGTGACATCAGTGTATGGTCATGGGGAGTTTAGTAAAACATTATTGTTTAATGTGTAAAATTTTTATACAGTGCCCACTTGAACTGGATTTGTCTTTTCAGGCTTGGACTGTCTGGAGAAACAGCATTTTGTGCTGAATAGCAGAAGAGTGCAGTGCTGGTAGATACAGGTGGGTCACTGCTGGTGGCAACAATTTAAGTTGATGAACAAAAAGCCACACAGCAGGTGATCCGCTAAATTGGGATTTTTTCCAACAGTGTATTAATTGGAAACGTCAACTATATCTAGTGACAACATTGGTACTGTGCTGTTCCAATCTGATTCAGACACTTTGATCTTGCTGGCATCATTGCATCAAGCAAATGTAACACCTGAAATCCCTTAAACTGTCTTTACTTTATCTGCTGTGATGACTAGGGGTCAACAATTTTAATTAAAAATGAACTAAATCTAATCCTGACAAACTCTGCATTCTGTGCTTTTAAATGCCAAGTCTTCCTCTGCTACTGTACCAGCCTGAGAGAGATGTATTTGGCTGCACAAGTAATGTTCTTTCTGAACTGGATCCTGCATCAGTATAAAGTGGTAGATCAGACTGAGTTGCTCCTCAATGATGTAAGAAATTGGGTAGAGCCCTGGCATTCAATTTACACCATCATAGGCATGTGGAAAAATCTTAAGTGGACAGAAATTTACTTTAATTGAAGCATGGCATAGACAACTACCAGGTCTATGATAGACATGACCTCTTTCTACCCTTCTCAGTGCAAGTTCTTAGGGCACAGTACTTAAGACAAGTCTGAAATTGGATCAACCCACTTTGCAACTGAAGATGAATTCAATAGGTGAACTGCAGATGAAAAGAAAGGTATTCAAAGTTTGGTCATTTTAAGTGATCTCAGACCAGTTGGTAGGAAGCCCTGCAGACTTTCATTCTGAATGATGATCAGGCCAGATGATGAGTACATGGATTTGCTAATTCTGATGGCATCTAGTAATGAAAGTCTTTCTGTCTTCTTAGTGAATCTTTTGGAATTCTCTTCCTCGGAGGTTCAATCACTGAGTTAGTTCAAAACAGAGACTGATACATTTCTAGTTACTAATGACATCAATAATTATAAGGATAACGTGGGAATATGGCATTGAGGCAGATAGTCATGTTTCAAAATGGCAGAACAAGGCTCAAAGGACTGAATGGCCTACTTCTGCTCCTGTGTTCCTCCAGAGGAGGCAATTGCCTAGTGGTATTGTTGTTGGACTGTTAATCCAGAGACCCAGATAATGTTTTGGGAACCCGGGTTCGAATCCCACCGTGGCAGATGGTGGAATTTGAATTCAATTTTTGAAAACCTGGAATTAAGAGTCTAATGATGACCATGAATCCATTGTTGATTGTCGGGAAAAAACCCATTTGGTTCAGTAATGTTCTTTAGGGAAGGAAACTGCCATCCTTACTTGGTCTGGCCTACATGCAATTCCAGACCCACAGCAATGTGATTGACTCTTAACTGTCCCCGGGCAATTAGGGATGGGTAATAAATGCTGCCTAGCCAGTGATGCCCTCATCCCATGAATGATTAGAAAAACCCAAAAGTTTTCTTTTCAACCCTCGATTCCACCTTCGGGCGACTGTGTGGAGTTTGCAAATTCTCCCTGTGTCTGCATGGGATTCCTCCGGGTGCTCCGGTTTCCTTCCACAGTCCAAAGATGTGCAGGTTAGATGGATTGGCCATGCTAAATTGTCCACAGTGTTCAGGGATGTGTAGATTATTTGGGTCATAGGGGGAATGGGTCTAGGTGGGATGCTCCGAGGGTCAGTATGGACTTGTTGGGCCGAAGAGTCTTTTTCCACACCGTAGGGATTCTATGATTCTATGAACGCAAGTTGTACTGTGTGGAGCCAATACCTGATGATTCCACAGCTGACTAGTTCATGCAGTAGATTTTGTCAACACTACCAGAAAGGAAGTATTTGAGTACTTACTGTTGAGTCTTTGCTGATATTTCTCAATAACCTTCAGAAGATCTATGCACGATGTCTGTACTATACGGAAAATCTGAAACAGTGAAATTGAGAATTTTATAAGATCTCATTGCAGGGAAGCCCAGGTAGCCCTCATGATTCCAGCCCAGACTTACGAGCTAAAGACTCCTGCATTAACCAATTTCAGGGGCCTAGGGCAAATTAAACTGAACAGTTTGAATCCCATTTCAAGCAAGTGTGAGGCAGTAAATAGTCCACAGGTCACCGTAAATTGTCAATCTCATTCAACGATCATCAGGACAGCTTGAGTGGGAAATGTTCTGACATTTACTGCAGGCTATTGGTTTCTTCAACCTTTGAAAGTTTAACTTCTATGCACAACAAAGCCATTTAAACAATACATTTCTGCTCTCAGCTTCACAAAAATGTCACCAGTGCTAACTGGGAGGCAAGTCAATTTGTGCTTTTGAAATCTGTACTATTCAATTCACAGACAGTGACTTGAGGATGCAGTGATTGTGAATTTGACCCAGGACTCTATTTTTAAAATCATTTGCAAGACTATCATAATTGTGGTCCAACTAAATGTCACCGAGCAAGCATGCTCCAATTCCTAAGAGGATCACTTCTTGGGTGGAAATTTATATCTGTAAACTCTGTGGCATTTATAGATTTGTCTAGAATGAAGTTTTTTTTTGAAAGAATAGTAATGGAATAAACTATAAATGTCACTCCATTTGCTTCAGCTCCCTGGACTTGTTTATTAGCAAGGTGAGGACTAGTCACTGTTTAACAGTATTAAATGCATTGGTCCTTCAATCCACAAAATTTGCCCCCAATCTGAGAATGGGTCCATCACATACAAATAGAATCATTAGTAAGCTTGTATGATCCAATGGGAATTGTACCTCTGAATATCACACTTAACTAACAAAACGAGACTGCCACAGAGCCCTAATAATGCTGCACCAAATCAGTGCATCAGGAGGCAGTGGTAACTTCACTGGGCTAGAGTCATACAGCATGGAAACAGACCCTTCAGTCTAATTAGTCCATGCTGACCATGCTCCCAAATTAAACCAGTCCTACGTTTGGCCTATATCCCTCCAAACCTTTCCTATTCATGTACTTATCCAAATGTCTTTTAAGTGTTGAAACTGTACCTGCATTCAGGCCTAGGCTAACACCCTGGAGACATGGGTTCAAATCACTCTACAGCTGCTAATGGAATTAAAATTCAATTATTAAATTTAAAATTGAAGGCAGGGAACTATCTTCAATAGCCATATAGACCCACCTGATTCACTAACGTACTATATGGAAGTAAATGCTTACCCACATATGACTCCAGATGTGGTTGATTCTAACTGCTCTCTGAAATGTCTTATCAAGCCACTCAGTCCAAGGGATGTGGGTGCTTCCTGTGTTTCCACGTGGTCAGCACTGCTGCCTCACAGCGCCAGGGACCTGGGTTCGATTCCAGCCTCAGGCAGCTGGCTGTGTGGAGTTCATATGTTCTCCCTGTATCTGTGTGTGTTTCTTCTGGGTGCTTGGGCTTCCTCCCACAGTCCAAAGATGTACAGTTTAGGTGGATTAGTCACACTAAAATGCCCATATAGCGTCTGTGCTAGGTGGAGTAGCTACAGGAAATACAGGGTTACAGGGATGGGGAGGGAGATGGGTCTGGGTGTGATGCTGTTTGGAGGCTTGGTGTGGACTTGATGGGCCGAATGGCCTGCTTCCACACTGTAGGAATTTTATGATTCTACATCCAAATCCCATTTAAGAATAAAGAAATAGAAATTAATATCTTGGCATGTGAACTGCTTCAGCCTTTCCACATTCCTGCATAAGGAGGTTTGGGGGTCCTTCAGACAGGAACGGGAAGCAACTAGTTATATGAAGGTCAATCAGATATGAATCACAAAAATGGGCATCAGGATTTCGAGGTAACATTGAACAAACTTTTCAGGTCTGATCCTAAATCCTACCATAAAAATGAAAGCTATCACTGGGACCTACTGGTTTCCACTGGAGATCTTAGATATTCCTTGCTTAATTAATTGGCAATGTGAACTACATCAATAATGTGGCACTATAAATGCTGTCCTTCTGACTTTTGAGCTCCAAATACATCCAAAACTTGTCAAATCCAAGAGATTAAGACAGGTTAAACAGAGGGCGATTTGTTTGGATATAGACAGATTGCCAGCTCTCAGCAGAACCAATTTAGATCATAGATCATAGAAGATCACAGAATTCCTAGAGTGTGGAAAGAGGCCCTTCGGCCCAACAAGTCCACACTGACCCTCAGAGCATCCCATCCAGACCCATCCCCCTACAACCCACTTAATCTACACATCCCTGAACACTACGGGCAATTTAGCATGGCCAATCCACCTAGTCTGCACATCTTTGGACTGTGGGAGGAAACTGCAGCACCCAGAGGAAACCCACACAGACATAGGGAGAACGTGCAAGCTCCACACAGACAGACGCCCAAGGGTGGAATCGGACCCAGGTCCCTGGTGCTGTGAGGCAGCAGTGCTAACCACTGTGCCACCATGCCGCCCAAGAAGATACAATCTTTGGAAAGACATGCCATCCAAACAATTCACCACTACCTCTAACTCTACTGTTGTTCCATCTCCTGACAGAATTTTCAGAGCTTTGAATGATTTTATTTGTACATGACAAGAAAGGGGAAAGTCGGCCTTACCGGGACAGGCACTGGAGAATAACCAGGTTAAAGAGTAACACTGGTAGAAGCCAGTGTGAGAATGGGAGTCCCTTCCTCACGCTTTGCATTGAGTATTGGCACTGTTCGTGTAAGCAAGTGATGGTTTGGTTTTTCACCAAACACAAGATAGAAGTCTAGAGTCACAACCATGTGGACTGTGCAATGGATTGTGCAGATGGAAATGGTAGGCTGTGACTCCTGATTATATCATAGTAACTTGCCTCAAATACAAAGGAAAGAAAAGTCTACAGTCATACTGTAAACAAAGCCTAAGGTTTCCTGGCAATTTAATCCACACCAATACATCAGGAACTATAGAGGACAGCTGAAATGGCAGTCTGCAGCCAATAGAACAACATAGAATTTCTTTCACAGTGCCCAGTCTTTCACTGCTAACTGGAGGCCATCTGCCAAGAGTTGGGACACACATCCTGTATCATCTTTGTGTACTGTGTAACCACATCTAATTGTACTAGGCCCTCGCCATTAATGAGAGTTAAACATATGGGCAGCTGCTATTTGTAACAGCTAGCGGTGCAAGGCTGGGGGAAGTGAGTTAGAGAGATGTGTCATTACAGGTCCAAAAAGGTTGATTGAAAATATTCCTTTGTAAATGAAAAACTGAAGTGTTTAACATGGGTGAGATAAACAATTTTATGGAGGCTGCTGAACGACAGCTATCAGAATGACATGCTGCTCTCCAACAACTAGAAGTAACCCACAATCTTTAGAGTACATTTCACTCATAATGCTGCCAATGCCCAAGAATTCTTCTGGAGTATTTTCTTATTTCCCTCCCCATCCTTCCCCAGTTTCTGCCCAATTGTTTGGATCTTCCCAGGATGTAGTCCTACAGGCACGAAGAGCTCTCCAGTGAACGGTCAATTTATTAACACAATGAGGCTCTACGTGGGGAACTGAAGTAAAGCAGGTCCCCCTCTCCTCATCAGATATTCACACACATATTAAAACAGACTCCATAATTTACACTCTTATTTCTCTGACCATATCCACAGTATTTCTTGCCTTAGTTTCTCTTGCTCTGCACTGTTATCCCTGGTATACCCCAGAGCTCTGTTCTTGTCCCCACCATCACCTATTTCTCATCTACACACTATCACCTCAGCAATATTATTGCAAAGCAGAGTGTTAGCTTTTTACGTACACTGACAACAGCCAGCTCTACCTCACCACAACCTCTCTAGACTCCTACACTTTTGCTAAGATATCAGATTGTTTATTTAATACCCAATACTGGAAAGTCAGGAATTTCCTCCAATTAATTATTGTGAAGACTGTACTCATTTGGTATAAATATATGCAGCTTCTAATAAGCATAAAGTGAGCCACATTGCGTCCCTCACAAGTTCTGCACTACTTAGTGAAAAAATTAAAACAGACTGGGCAGTGCTTTGCTTGTGAGAGAAAAGAAACAAGTCTGGAAAAATGTTAACCCAATTCCTCTTGGATGTAGGCAGATGATTTGCAGTTGTTTATATGAACATGAGTTGACCATTCAGCACCAAGCCCAGATCACCATTCAATTAGATGACGGTGATCTTTTTCTTAATTCCATCTACCCAGCTTGATCATGTATTTCCTAATGTCTTTGCTGAAATTCTTAAGAAATGCTCAACTAAACCATAGCCCCATCACCATTTTGGAGGACAGAATTCCAGATTCCACTGTCCTTTCTGTGGAAAAGTATTCTTGACAGCACTCCTGAACTCCTGGCTCTACTTTAAGACGCACTCTTTGTTCTGGACTTCTTCGACAAGAGGAAACAACTTCTTTCTATCTACACTACCAAATCCTAAAACATCTTAAACTGCGCTAGGATCTACGGTGTGCAAGTTCACCATTCCCTTAAGGTAGTGGGAGAAGAGGATAAAGTGGTTAAGAAGGCATATTGGACACTTGCGTTTATTAGCCAAGGCATAAGTTTAAGAGCAGGAAGGTTATGCTGGACGTGTATAAAACATTGGTTAGGCCATCACTAGAGCATTGTGTGTAGTTCTGGAATCCACATTATAGGAGGGATGCGATAGCACTAAAAAGAGTTCAGAAAAGTTTTATCAGGATGTCAGCTGGCCTGGAGAGTTTGTGCTCTGAAGAGAGATTGAACATATTGGGGATGTTTTCCTTGAACAGAGGAGATTAAAAGGGGACACGATAGAGATGTATAAAATTATGAGGGGAATGGACTGGGTAGCCAGGAAGAAACTTCTCCCCTTGTTGGAGGGATCAATGACCGAGGGCATTCAATTTAATTTGATTTATTGTCCCATGTACCTTAGTACAGTGAAAAGCTTTCTTTGCGAGGCAGTACAGGCAGATCATAGTAAGCAAGGACATATAGATCTTACGGTGAAAAAAATTTTGGACAGAGTAAAATATACAGGTTACACTGTGTGCTAAGCAAGATCAACATTAACAAGATCAGCATTATTTGAAGTTACAGAGTCCATTCAACAGTTTAATAATCGCAGGGAAGAAGCTGTTCTTGAACCTGCTGGTGCATGTATTCAAGCTTCTGCATCTTCTGCCTGATGGAAGAGATTGTAAGAGAGCATTATTGGGGTGGGATGAGTCTTTGGTGATGTTGGCAGCTTTTCTGCGGCAACAAGACATGTAGATGGAGTCCATGATGGAAGGCTGGCTTCTGTGATTGTGTGCACAACCCAGGCAACCTTCTGTAGTTTCTTATAGTCCTGGGCAGAGCAGTTGCCGTACCAGGCCGTTATGCACCTGGACAGTATGCTTTCTACGGCGCATCTGTAAAAGTTGGTGAGAGTCCTCACGGATACGCCAAATTTCCTGAGCCGCCTGAAGAAGATGACGCGTTGTTGTGTCTTCTTGACTGTCACATCTTCGTGGGAAGTTCAGGACAGGTTGTTGGTTATCGTCACTCTGAGGAACCTGACGCACTCAACCCTCTCAACCTCCACTCCATTGGTGTAGATGGGGGCATGTTCTCCTCCTTTCTTTCTGAAGTCAATGATCAGTTCTTTAGTTTTGCCGATTTATAGTAAGGGGCAGAAGGCTTAGAGGATATATAAAGAGAAACTTTATCACCCAGAGGGTGGTGGGAATCTGGAACTCACTGCCTATAAGGGTGGTAGAGGCAGAAACGTTCATAACATTTAAGAAGTATTTAGCTATATGCTTGTGATGCCAAAGCATGCAAGACTATGAGGCAAGCACTGGAAAATGGGATTAGACTATTCAGGTGGTTGTTTTTGAACAGCGCAGTCTCGATGGGCTGTAAACCTTATTAATTTGTTTTTGTGTGCTGTAAACCTTATTATTATTTGTTTGCTTCTTCTTGCTTTTTAAAATTTTAAATATTGGTAACTTTCCAATCCAAAGGCAATTTCTGATCAGCAAGTTTTTTGGGGCAATTTTCCACATTTTTTTTATACTCTGGGTAGTCTCATCAGGTCTTTGTGATTTGTAACTTTATTCTTTCTTATATTAAATCCAGTAAGTTTCCGACCACACTTAATTTGTTTTTACATTTCCTTGCATCTCTGGCATCTACCTTTTTCCTCTACTGTAAAATGTAATATAATATGTTTAGCAAGCTTGACATTTCCTGATTTTCAAATAAAACTTAATCTAAGGAGTCCACATTACTCTTAGTTACCTTCTTTCTCTCAATACTTTTCTAAAAACCTTTAGTGTTGCATTTGCCATCCCTTGCAAACTTTTTCTTGCACTCCTTGTGACGAGCTAAATATCCTTACCATGTTCTTTACTTTCCTCTCAGTCTGTGACAGCTCGATAAAGTTTTTCCTTCCTACAAGTCCTTTCTTTTAGTTTTATACTTCTCTCACTGGCCAGAAGAATCCACACTAGAAAGGAATGATCTTCTAAAGTTTAACGATTTAAAATGTGTATTTGGGAAAAGGCAATGCTCCATTTAGTGCCCACCTTAGTTGCCAAATAGACAGTAAGGGTAACTATATTACATGGGACAGGATCACATGTAGGCCTGACCAGACGAGAGTGACAATTTCTCTTCCCTCAGGAACATTCATGAAACAGTGGTGTTTATACAACAATCGGACAGCTTTCATGGTTATTTATATTTTTTATGGCGCTATTCCCCAAACTGTCAGATTTATGGAGGTCAAATTACACACTTTCCACCTGTGGAGAGAAACAGAATCAATGTTTTGTGTCAACTTGATCTTTCTTCTGATCTGATGACAGGTCATCGCGACCTGGAACATTAAGACTACTTCTCTCTCAAAAGTCTCTGCCAGACTTGCTGGGTGTTTCCAGCAATTTTTATTGTTATTTCAACTTTGCAGCATCTGCAGAATTTTGCTTTACTACACACTTTCCATAGTGAGATGGGATAGTCAAACTCCCAGGCTTTCAGTTCTGGACTCTTATCGACTAAATTAACAGCGTAGTAAATTAGGGTTAAGGCATTTAGGGTCCTGAATTTCCTCAGGACTCCCCTGGACTCCCGGAACTCACTGGAAAATGGCAAACCTCCCATAAAATCCAAGACTTTGCATTTGGGCTTGACAAGAACTGAATGCCCACCACCTTTTCCAATAATGTCAGAGAGGCAGGGACTCTCTTTGCTGTAGTTCCTGCTTCCTTACCTCAGTCATGGCCTGGAAGAATGTTGCAGGTTGATAGATGGAGTAAGATGAGCCATTTTTTCTGTGTTTTTTTTATCTATTAGAGACATACGCAGCGCAGGCAAATAATTTCATGGCACATGGGTAAGCATTGTAAAGTCACAAAGAAGTTACCCAGGCCGCCCGCTGTTGTTTTTTTTAAGAAAACACCTTTGAAGGCAAAAATTGAACACAAAAGATAAAATTCAGATTTCCCCATTCAATCTTTATTTATGACAAAGGTGTTGACAAAGTCCTCAGTGAGTAAAGAATCATCAAGCGCGGTTCGAGAGAAAATAAATGGCAAAGCTTGGAAAACTAAAACAGAAGCTATTAAAAAAAAAGTTTGAGTCTATCAGAATCTGAAGAGAGAAAAGGCAGCTGAATGTTTCAGTTTGGGGTCTCTTAGTCCTAAATTCAAACTACTTACTTTTCCTCCCTGATGCTGAAAAGTTATTTCCTTTATATTCAGTAAAGGGCAGGTCTTATTATTCCACTCAAAATACAGGCTCTGGCCAGGAGAACATCAATGTTGTCACCAGACATACTTAGAATATCAGGACCGAAAAGCCTTACGTAAAGAAGCATTTCCCAATAAACCAGTATTATTCCAATATATTTCTTGTGTTGTACTCTTACAACACATCACCTCAAATCTCCTACCAGTGATAAGATCTGTAATCACCATTAATTCATCTTACTGATATGTAGGTTAAGTATCTCACACCCTCACAGATTTGGACACGTGGAGTTTATGTCTGTGCTCCTGGATGTTTTTGACAGTTCGCTGAGGCTGGTTGGATTTACACACCTACCTCCAATTTTGCATCCAAATCTGCATCAGATGCCACCACATGCTCATCCTCTTTCTTCCCTGTTGCTTTAATGAGCACCTGCTTTGTCTTCCAGTACTTTTTCTGCATCTGGCTCACCACAGATTTGTCATCATTGAGAACATGCCGGTTAAACATCTCTCCAGAATACCTAATGACAACAACATCCAGTTATTTCTTGTTTCAATACCCCAAAGTACATTTTTTAAAATATAGAATCCCTACAGTGTGGAAACAGGCCCTTCGGCCCAACAAGTCCACACTGACTCTCAGAGCATCCCACCCAGAGCCATCCCCCTATAAGCCACCTAATCTCCACATCCCTCAACACTATGGGCAATTTTCCATGGCCAATCCACCTAGCCTGCACATTTTTGGACTGTGGGAAGAAACCGGAGCACCCAGAGGAAACCCACACAGACTCAGGGAGAATGTGCAACCTCAACACAGACAGTCGCCCGAGGCTGGAATCGAACCTAGGTCCCTGGCGCTGTGAGGCAGCAGTGCTAACCACTGAGCCACGACTTACATGTTCTAAACTATGTCATGTTGGTGAACTTCTTTTAAAATCTTAGCAGTATAATTTCCCAAAAGGATGCAGATTCTATCTTGAATTCATATATTTTGAACCAACTAACAATAATGAGGAATTAATGTAATAACAAATGTCCTTCAATCTTTGTATAAATGGAACTATACTTTGTGGTGGCCTGCATCTGAGCCTTGCCTCATTCAGTAAGGAGGCCATTTGGTCCATTGTGCCTCATCCAGTTTTTCAAACAAGCATCATTACTTAGTGCCATCCCCTGCTTTTTCTCCACACTCTTGCACATTATTTCTATCCAAATAATTATCCAATGCCCTCTAAATGCCTCAATTGAATGAATTTATCCTTGGTTCAATGAAGATTGCAGGAGGGCATGCCAGGAGAAGCACCAGGCATACCTAGAAATGAGGTGTCAACCTGCTGAAGCTACCAAACAGGACTACTTTCATTGTAGCACAGTGAGTAGAATCCCTGCTTCTGAGATAGTAGCTCTGGGTTGAAGCTCCACTCCACCTCTTAATGGCTGAGGAAGGTGCATTCATAAAGCAGCCAAACAGGTTGATTATCAACCTGCAAATTCTTCCTAGCTACCTGTGGCAGGTAGCAAGAGTGGGAGAGTCTCCTCATCAGTTAGGCTCAACACAGAGCAGCAATCCAAAATCAATAACCTCTTGGAAAGATAAGCAACATGCCCCATAAAACATGCTTTTGAAACAGTCTTAAACACATGCTTTGTCTGCCTGATGCACCACTAGGTGTAAGAAGAGAAAACCAAAGAGGTGGAACCTTTTTTTGATGAAGAAAGATTTATTTTACTCTACTGGATGCCTTTCTGGTTAAAATGAGAATGTGGCCACTTCCTACCCTGTTTTTCACCTCATTTAATAGAAAATAGGTACTGAACTGTGCCAATCCTCACTCTCTAGACCATTTGCGTTGGCTGGGGCAGGATTAGGCATCTAAGGCCCTTTTACAATCTATAAATATTTATCTATGGTGTAATCTTGATTTGATGACAGTTCGTGAATACGAAAACAAAATACATAAAACAGTTGGGGATTTTGGCAGCTATTTTAAGATTATTTTGGTGTCCTTCATTGCCTGGAGGTCAGATGGCTGGTACATTGTTAACAACCAATGCAATGAGTCGGAAGTCTGGATCATTGTAACCCATCCTAGGAATTCGAGGGCTCCAAAAAGAATAGAAAACAAAGCAGTGCAAACTGACAGAGCTGTTGGAATGAGAGAGGAAGAGACTGACAGATGGACAAAGGAGCAGCAAGGTTACTGAACAACCAGAAGGAACATGGTTGAGAATCAAAGGACAAACAATTCTAGGAATGATCCACACATCGCAGAGCTAATTCACTCCTGTAAATGGTTGTTTACAGCAGTGTTTTATTCTTGTGATTGATGGATCATGGAACACCTTTATTCACACATGCAGATTGACAAAATGCAGGTTTCATTCTTGCCCTCTTGTGGAGGTGGTGGCAGCGAAGGGGGGGGATCAATCTGAGCACAGTTCTACACCTCCAACCGCCTGGTTTGCAGAACACTACAAAACACAGAAACCTGATCAGTGAAGGTAACTGAGTCTTGCACCCGTGATATCATTTGAAGGGGAACTGAGATGTATTTGACTATCCAGGGCCCTCCTTGTACATTATCATACTACAATCTAATATTACTCCTCTTGCATAATAAATGCTTACCCTTGATGACGGTCCATTGTGTACTGTTTCTGTTGTGAGGAACCTAAACAGACGCAGAAGTAATTAGATACAGATTTTTCACTTACAGGACAATTCTAAAGAAAAGTCTTGCATTTATAGAGCGCCTTTTGCAACTCAAGACATTTCACAGCCAATAAAACACTGTTTTGAAGTGTGGTCATTGACTGATGTGGGATACAATTGTCTTATCACTATGACTTCAGTACAGCTGGGAAATTACAACCGGATGGACTTTGCCATTTGTAAGAACCATTCCATTGAACGGTTAATGTTATACAAATAAAATCATATTAGGTTGTAGCACATGGCAGCCTATTAAGTAAAAAAATACTGGCAGGCTTCTATGGAACAGCTCCCTCAAATGAGCCAGTGCCCTGCAGTATTGAAGCAGTCAAAGAAGATCCCAGTTTGACCCCCCCAACCTAGGCTGAATGAGTTGTTCTCAGCCACATCAAATAGCAAGGCTGATAAATTGACCTCTGCATTCACGAGCTGTAGAAGAGCACAGAGAGGAAAGACAATCAGTCTGATCATCAGTAAGGACAGAATCGGGCTCAGATGTGAAATCCTCCCGCAATTAAACAACCCACTCATGCTCCTTCTTTGCACTCCCTCACATGGATCAGATAGGGGGCAACTGCTGGCACGGACAGAAATCCACCCAATACAACTCCGTGGCAGAGGAAAGAGAAATTGAGAAAAGAACATCTTTCCAATAAAGCATTCCTCTATGTTAGCTTCATTTGATCAAGACTGGTTCACACAATGATGCATTTACATCAGTCTGATTCCAGTCGCACAGTGTTGGCACATCACTGCACATCATCAGGGGCTTTCAAATTCTCATTCTTGTATTTAATCTCTCCATGACCTCCCCACTCCAGATCTCTTCAACCTCCTCCAGACCTTACAATCCAAAGTCCTTAACTCTTTACTTTGGGGTGGTCTCCAAACAACTCGGCTGGTTAAAACATTAATTCCATCTGAGAGGGCAGATACAGCCTTGGTTTGATGTCTCATCCAAATGACAGCACTTCAGACAATCTGGCACTCCCTTATCATTCACTGGGGGTGTCAATCTGGACCGTATTCAGTTTTGTCCAAAATCTGGAGTATCAGTATCAGGACAGCACTGTCCCCCACATCCCAACAGCACCACCCTCTTCTTTTTCAATCATAGAATCCCTACAGTGCTGAAGGAGGCCATTCAGCCTGTCAAGTCTGCAACAACTGTGCATCCCAACCAGACCCAGGCCCCTACACTAACCCTGTAACCCTGCATTTACCATGGCTAACCCACCTAGCCTGCGCATCTTTGGACTGTGGGAAGAAACCGCAGCACCCGGAGAAAACCCATGCAGACATGGGGAGAACATGCAAACTCCACAGACAGTCGCCCAACGCTGGAATCGAACCTGGGTCCCTGGCATTGTGAGCCAGCAGTGCTAACCACTGTGCCACCCTGCTACCCGTTTTGGGGAGAATTCCACAAGCACTGAATAACAGTGGAAATGTTGAGCACAAAATGACTTTCCACCTGTCATGCCTCTGCCAGCTTTTTCCTGAAGCAATCCAAAACATATCCCGTGGTCCTGCTGGCCCCTCTCCAACCCAAGAGTTGTGCCCTCTTCCCCTTCTTTCACTGAACCACTTCCTGTGGTTACAGTATTGCACATGACACTTAAAGTAAATTGCAAATGTTGCAAGTACACCAGCTGCTGGCACCTTTTAAAAAGCCCAGTCAGTAAGGATGGTGTGAGCAACAAATTTCAGGAGAAACAGCAAGTGTTGGGAGTGTTTATAAATGGTGGAGAAGTGGATAGGGAGCATCTACAAATGGAGGAGAAATTTGACAGAGTGAGGAACTGTCAACCCTCTCTCAGAACTGGAAGTTAGCTAGTTGCTTTGCAACCTGTGGTAAGATATTGAATGGGAGAGTGCTGAGAGGTCATCACTTTTGCATGCAAAATGTGCCCGATCTACCTTAAATTACCCGAGAAACTCAAAGTGCAATAGCTATACAAGTTATTATCTTCCACTAACAAAATTCTGCTGCTAATCCAAAAGCATGTCTTTCTAATATTCGTAATAGGCAGAGTAGAACAATGCTCAACTAGCTCAAGCTTGAAAAACCCAAAACAAAATATCTACTGTTTGATGTGATTCTGTGATTGGATCGAACTTCAATAAAAGAAAATCTAGAATTAAAAGTCTAATGATGATCACTGTCAACTGTCATAAAAGCTCATACTCATGTCTTTCAGGAAAGGAAATCTGCCATCCTTACCTGGTCTGGCCTACATGTGGCTTCAAACCCACAGCAATGGGATTGACTCTCAAGTACCCTCTAAAATGGCCAAGCAAATTACTTCATCCAAGGGCAGTTAGGAACAGGCAAGAAATTCTGGCCTTACCTGTGAAGCCTACATGCTGTGAGAGAATAATGGGTAAAGAACAACAGCAGCATCGATCCTTGTAGAACATCTGACCCCACAACCAAAGATACATTTCCCTCCCCACCCCTATCTGTCATTCGTAGGAACCACTCTCTCCACGACTCCCTTGTCCGTTCCACACTCCCCACTAGCCCCACCAACCCCGGCAACTTTCTCTACAACCGCAGGAAGTGCTACACTTGCCCCTACACCTCCCCCCTCACCTCCATTCAAGGCACCAAACAAACCATCCACATTAGACACAGGTTCACCTGCACATCCGTCAACGTGATCTATTGCATCCGCTGCTTGTGACGTGGCCTCCTCTACATCGGTGAGATCAAGCAGAGGCTCGGAGACTGCTTTGTAGAGCACCAGCACTCTGTTTGTAACAAACACCACCACCTCCCGGTCACAAACTATTTCAACTCCCCCTCCCACTCCCACTCCCTGGGTGACATGTCCATCCTGGGCCTTCTCCAGTGTCACCATGAAGCTACCCTCAAATTGGAGGAGCAATACCTCATATTCCGTCTTGGGAGCCTACAGCCCAATGGCCTAAACGTGGATGTTTCAAAATCTTCCCCACCCCTGGCCTCATCCCATGACCTACCCTCCCTCTCATCCCCGCCTCCTTGACCTGACACAACACATCTTCTCTCCCAGCTATCCGCTCCTCTCACCTCACTGACCAATCCCCACCACTCCCTACATGCACTACCTATCGCCATCCCACCTACCTTCTCCAGCCCCACCCCTCCTCTCTCTATTTATTTCTGAGCTCCCTTCTGCTCATCCCCCCACCCCATTTCTGAAGAAGGTTCCCGACCCAAAACAACAACTTTCCTGCTCCTCTAATGCTGCCTGGCCTGCTGTGTTCCTCCAGCTCCATACTGTGTTATCACTTGCCATCTTCTGCCTGTCTGAGTAACCATGATTAATCCGACTCAGCATTCTACTATACAGCAACCTTTCTATCCGTGACTTCCCCAGAACCAACTTCTCTCGACACAATCACAAGTTTGCTATGCAGTATCTAATCAAAGATCCTTGAAAATGTAAATGTATTATGTCAACACCATTACCCCTATCTATTATTTTGTCTTTCCTTCAAAGTATTCAGTTAGGTTGGACAACCATGACACAGCAGTCTGTGCTGTCTACTCTCTATTGTATATTCAGTTTACAAATATTTAGAACATAATGGATACACACACAGGATGAGATATTTTTAGATTGAGCCCCACCCAAACACCTTGTCTTCTCTTTTATTCAAGTTGACAGACCTGCTGACAGATTATTTTGTTTCCCAGCATCAGACCTTTCTAAGTTTCTAAAAAGCACAATCAATGCAAATTTATTGACAGAATTCATCAAAGCTGTTACTGAATAACTTATTTAAATGCAGCTATACACACTTGACCTGTTCTATATCTAGCTCTGAATGAACTGATTTGACCCAGAGAGGAAATACATTTAATAGTGGTATGATAGAAGGGAGAAATCATTCTTAACATAATCCAATGCTTTTCTCTCACTCTTATACAATGACAGGACTGTCCGCACCAGTACTTTACCCCAGTGTTACACAGACAGACCTATCCCCACCAGTACTCTACCCCAGCGTTATACAGAGACAGATCTGTCCCTACCAATACTGCACTCCAGTGTTATACGATAGACCTGCCCACACCAGTAATTTACCACAGTGTTATACAGAGATAGACCTGTCCATACCAATACTGTACATCAATGTTATACAATGACAGACCTATCCGCACCTGTACAGTACCCCAGTTTTAGATTTGTCACATGTATATAAAAATACAGTCAAAAGCATTTTCTTGCACAATATCCACAAAGCGTCACCACACTCCAATGCCATCTTGAAACACTGAATATAATGCAAGATTTTACTGCAATAGATTTCATCTTTCTCTCTTCTTCTTGTTCCTCCAAGGTGGCTCCTCCAGTTGCTGCTTATCATCAGTTGGAGTCTTAACCCCCAAGGTGTGATGGTGGGGAAATCAGCGATTATTATGCTATTGAATGCCAAGGGATAATGGTTAGAGTTCTACTTTTTGGAAATAGCCATTGCCCGGTATCTGTATGGCACGAATGTTACTCTCCACTTTTTAGCCTTAGCATTTAAACATAGGCTGCTTCAACATCTGAGGAGTTGCGAATGGTGTTGAACATTGCACAATCATCGGCATACATCCCCACTTCTGACCTTTTGATGCAGGGAAGGTCATTTAGCGAAGCAGCTGAAGATGGTTCGGCTTAGGACACTACCCTGAGAAACTCCTGCAGAGATGTCCTGGAGCTGAGATGGCTCCAACAATCACAACTATCTTCCTCTGCATCACTCGTGACAACAACCAGGAGAGAGTTTACCTCTGATTCCGATTGACTCGAGTTTTGCTAGGGTTCCTTGTTGCCATATTCGGTCCAATGCAGTCTTGATGTTAAGGGCTGTTACTCTCACCTCACCTCTGTAATCAGCTCTTAAGTCCATGTTTGAACTGAGGCTATTGTCACTGGACCTGAAACGTTAACTCTCCACAGTTGCTGCAAGACCTGCTGAGATTTTCCAGCAATTTCTGTTTTTGTTTCAAATTTCCAGCATCCACAGTTCTTTCAGTTCTTCATCTTTTAATCCATCTTTTAAAACCAGATTTTTATCCTGGAATAAAAGAATGAAATGATCTTCATCCCACACAGTGGGATTCGAACTCAGGCCCCCAGAATAATACCCGAATCTCTAGATTACTGGTCTCACAACAATACCACTAGGCCATCGCCGCCCCATTATCTGTCAGAGGGACAATAAACCATGCAAATATAGAGTCATACAGTACAGAAACAGACCCTTCAATCCAACTCGTCCACAATGACCAGACATCCCAATCTGACCTGATCCCATTTGCCAACATTTGGCCCATTTCCCTCTAAACCCTTCCTATTCATATACCCATCCAGATGCCTTTTACATGTTGTAATTGTACCAGCTTCCACCACTTCCTCCAGCTGCTCGTTCCACACATGCACTACCATCTGCGTGAACAAGTTACCCCTCAGGTCCTTTTTAAATCTTTCCCCTCTCACCTTTAACCTATGCCCTTTAGTTTTGGACTCCCTCATCTAGCAAAAAGACCTATAACTATAAAATGGGGAAAGACATGTTGGAGTATTTCCTAAATGGTGACAAACCGGAGACTGATAAGGAAAAATGAGATCTGTGAGTTCAATTAAACAAATCACTCTAAGCAGGTCAATAGGACCAAACAAAAAATCAAAAGTCTAAATGGAAAGTTGACTGTCACAAGGAGGCTGAAATATTAAAGGGAGGTTATGTTTCAGTTGTCCAGAGATTTTCTGGTTGGATCACACCTGGAGTATTGTGTTCAGTTCCAGCGTGACACACCAAAGCTGGAAAGGTTAAATTATGGAGATGGGTTACAGGAATTATTTCTTTGAATTCAAAAGTCAAAGAGTTAAAGTAATTAAGATGCTCAGAATGTTAACTGGATCTGAAAGGGTGGACACAGAAATGATTTCCTCTTGTGGGGAAAATGATCTTAAAATTAGAGATAGGAGAGTCAAAAGCCAAGCCACAATGTCACACCGAAGGTTGTGGAAATGTTAAACTGTCACTGCCAAAACAGCTGTGCTTACTGCAACAATTTAAGCTCTCAAAACATATGAACAGATGCTGCTGGGTAACATGATGAAAGAATATTGAACAAAACAAGTAAATTGACTTAAGATAGAAGTCAGAAGGATTTAGAATCATAGAACCCCTAGGGTGTGGATGCAAGCCATTCAGCGCATTGAGTTCAAACTGACTCTCTGAAGACCATTCCCACATCCACCCCTCTACCCCATCCCTGTAACCCTGCATTCTCCATGGCTAATCCATCAAACCTGCACATCCCTAGACACTACGGGCAATTCAGCACAGCTAATCCACCTAACCTGCACATCTTCGGACTGTGGGAGGAAATTCACGCAGACCGGGGAGAATGTGCAAACTCCACACAGACAGTTGGACAAGGCTGGAGTCAAACCTGGGTCCCCGGCACTGTGAGGCAGCAGTGCTAACCACTCAGCCACCGTGTGGAGCAGAATGTCAATACTCTACTCAGGATAGGCATAGGGATAGGTTATGAGAGTTCCCAAATACATGGTTATACACGGACAAGCCTTTATTCACCAGTACTGCACCCCAACATTATTCATCTCCAGTGCTGTATCCCAGTGTTATACGCTGACAGACCCGATCCTACCAATGCTGCATCCCAGTGTTACACAATGACACTTCTGTCCACAAATGTACAGCCCTCCAGGGCTATACAGTGTCAGACCTAAATCCATCAGTACTGTACACCAGTGATATACAGTGATCTGACCCCACCAGACTGTACCTACAAGTTGAACAGTCACAGACTTGTCCCCACCAGTACTGTACCCCAGTGTGACACAGTGACAGACCTGTCTGTCTCTACCAGTACTATACCCCAGTGTTATACAGTGATAGACCTGGCCCCACCAATACTGCACCCCAGTATTATACACTGACAGGCCTGTCTCCACTGGTACTGTACCCAAGTGTTATACAGTAACAGACCTGTCAATACAAGCACTGTACTTTAATGTTGTACAGAGACAGACCTGTCCCCACCAGTACTGTACTCCAATGTGATACAGTTGGACCCCTGTCCAAACTAGCACTGTACAAAGGGTTATACAGTGGCAGATCTACGCCCACCAATATGGCACCCCATTGATATACACTGGCAGCCTATTCCCCATCTGTACGGTGCTCCAGTATTATAGTTACAGATCCGTCCCCACCAGTGCAGGATCCTGGTGTTAGACAGTGACAGACCTGTCCCCACCATTGAAACCCCAGTATATACACTGACAGAACTATCCCAACCAGAACAGTACTCCAGTGATATACAGCGACAGATCTGTCCCCACCAGTACTGCACCCTAGTGACAGACTTATACCCACCAGTACTGTACCTCAGTGTTATACAGTGACAGACCTGTGCCTACCTGCATTACACCCCAGTGTTATACAGTGATAGACCTGCCCCACCATAACTGTACTCCATTGTTATACAGTAACAGATCTGTACTATACTCCAGGGTCATATAGTGACTGACATCTCTCACCAGGACTGGATTGCAGTGTTATACAGAGACAGCTCTGTCCCCACCTGTACTGTACTGCAGTGTCATACAATTGGAGGCCTGTCCAAAATAGCACTGTACCAGGGTTATACAGTGACAGACCATTGTCCATCAATATGACACAACCATGGATATGTATCAGCAGACACGTCCAATTCTGTACTGTATTCCAGTGTTAAAGTTACAGACTTGTCCCCACCAGTGCAGGATCACATTGTTAGACAGTGACAGACTTGTCCCCACCAGTATTGTACCTCAGTGTTATACACTGACAGACCCATTCCCAGCAGCACTGTATTCGTGTTATAGGGTGACAGATCTGTCCCCACAGATGAGGGCAGTGTTAGATAGTGACAGAATTGTCCCCACCACTGCACCCCAGTGCTCGATAGTGACAGACCTGTCCACACTGGTACTGTATCCCAGAGTTATACAATGACAGACATATCCCCTACCAGTACTGTACCCCAGCGTTATAGTTTACAGTCTTGTTCTACCTGTCTTCATAGTACTGTAGCCCAGTATCATACAGTGACAGATATGCCTCAGCAGTACTCTGTCCCAGTGTCAGGCCTGGACAGACCTGACCCACTGATGGAGTACCTATGTCAAACAGTAACAGACCTGTCTTTAGTTTTAAGTCGTGGCTCCTTCCTGAAGAAACTCCCCGCCCCGCTCTGATCTAGATTATATTAATGGATAATAACCGAGGGCCCCGACTCTCCACCTTTACGTACTCCAGCGGGGACCTCTCTCTCTGGGTGAACACAGCCCAGGCCCCGCATCCAAACCCCTCCTCCTCCATCCACCCCACACGCCCGGCCCTCGGTCGTTTACCGGCACTGGGTGATCCTCGAAGATCGGGGCTGAAGGGTCCAAGCCCAGGCTGACGGAGCGTCTCCCTCGGTGGTCTCAACTCAGCTCATTCCGGTTGAAATCCACCTCGGGACAGGCCGGATCAATACATGCGGATGTGTCCTCCAGAGCCCAGCGAACGGCTGGGCCGAGTCCTCCCGACCACGGGGTGGCGCTGCCGAGACTGGAGTGAGTCCTCCAGACCGCGGGGTGGCGCTGCCATGGCTGGACTAAGTCCTCAAGACCGCGGGGAGGCGCTGCCGGGGCTGGAGCGACTCTTCCTATCCGCGGGGAGGCTCTGCCGTGGTTGGAGCGAGTCCTCCAGACAACGAGGAGGCTCTGCCGGGGCTGGAGCGACTCTTCCTGTCCGCGGGGAGGCGCTGCCGTGGCTGGAGCGAGTCCTCCAGACCACTGGGCGGCGCTGCCGAGGATGGACTAAGCCATCCAGACTGTGGGGCTTTCTTTTGGCAGAGGGAGTGAGTCATCCAGATGGGTGGAGTCGCTGGTAGCAGGGCCGGGGGGCTCTGCTGGAATCTGCAATGAGTCCTCCAGACCGCAGCTTAATTCAATCTGTATTTGCTGTTCACAATGCAGTCTCCTCTACTTTGGTGAGATCATACAGAGACTGGGGTGACCACTTCACAGAACACCTCTAGAGGAATGACTCAACTCATTAAATCGGACTTGAAATGTTAGCTGTTTCAGTTTTCACAGATGCTGCCAGCACTGCAGCACTTTCTGTTCTTAACACTTGTTATCAACAATGGTCTTCTTCTAACTGCCAGCACTTGAAACACTAGAGATCTATCTTCAGATTCCTCAGCCCACTCTGGTGTTGACCCTCGGTGACTCCTAGAGATAGGATTGCTCGCTCTACTTGGGTGCATTCCTTTTCAAAATTTAGCAATGCTGACTAACCTATCTAATTAAAGCATTTTGCTTCCTGATTTGCAATATTTTTACTACAGATAACCAGTTGGTCAAAAGAAAATAGAGAAAAGACACATGTTTTTAATATCATTGTGATTTTTCTCCTGAATTGCACACCTCAATCAGCAAGAAAATTAATCTTTCATTTGTGAAGGTTCCGGGATCATCTGGAGAGTTGGTAACTGTTATGATCCCAGCTGATGGAAACACTTGGACCAGTCAGGTATCAATGTTAGGCTTGGCTAGATAGATAATGAGTTTTATTTTTGTTATTTATTTACCATGGTGATAACAACAGCTCACTTATTTCTTAACATAGGAACATTGAACTGTTCTTCCACAACCTTCTGTTTCTGAGCTGACCTTAAGCCGCTCATGGCTTCTTTTCTTCTTTCCTGACTATTTTGGAGATTGCTAAACTGCATTTTACAGACCCTTTGTCTCTGAATAGTCTGCCTCGCTCTGAAATAAATTAGCACACACGCACTTGCCGAATGATTCTCTCTTTCTAAAGTAACTTGTTTCAGTCTTTTTTAATAAACATTTTTCTGACCTATGTTTCAAAGGCACTTAATCTTTTCCTCAAGGAGTTTATGAACGTCATTTAAGTGCAACTACATTAATTTCCAGAAAACCTAACCCACTCACAGTGTTGAACATAGAGGATCGAAGAGTTCTGATGAAGGGTCACTTGTCTCAAAATGTTAAATCTGTTCTTCCTCCACAGAGGCTGCTGGACCCTCTGAGTTTCTCCAGCACTTTCTGATTTTGTTTCAGATTTCCAGCATCTGCAGTTCTTTGTTTTATATTAGTTGATTGCAGTTTACCTGGGCCAGATGCATTTTCATCCCCTGAATCCGGTCAATCTCTATTAAGTACTTTTTACTCTAATTGCTGCTTGTTCTTTTCCACAGATAGAATCATTAATATCATAGGCTATGATCATTATTCCTTAAATGTTGCCCCCACTGACACCTGACTGATCACTTTCTGATTAAGTAAGGTCTCCTGAAAACATTTCATAAAATCTTCCCCAATATTCTCTTTTACTGTTACTATTATGTTTATGTTAGCATAATTAAAGCTCCTGATTTTCACTGCTCAATATGTAATGCACCCTTCTGTAATTTCCTTAAAAGTTTGCTGCTCTCTATTTTTCCCACTATTTGGTACCCCGTAAAATACATTGAGTAGGGTATTGGGACCACTATTGTTTCTTAATTCTACCAAATAGATTCCATCCTTGACTTCATCAGGACATCCTCTGTCACTCTTTCTCTCTACATGTTGACATAGCAAGTAGCTAAGCAATTGATTGAGGATAATGAATTAATTGATCAGGTAGTTATTAAGGGGAAGCAGGTGTGTGCGCATGTGCAAGACTGAGGGGTTAATAAATCGTATCCTCAAAAGAATGAGTCGCAGTTCCATTTATACTGACGGTCTTGGATCCACGTCGACACCTCCAACATTATAATATTCTCCTTCATCAATACTTCTTCTACTCATCCCACTGCTTCTTTTTCCTGAGTCAGAAATGTTTAAAGTTTGGCTGCTTCATAGACTCTTGTTTAAGCTTCTTTTGAAGGGGACTGTTTGGATATTGTGATAGGCGCAGATTAAGGAGTGAAGAAACAATGACCTGGATTTTCTGCTTGCCAGACAGTCATGACTCCAATGTGGACAGGATTAACTACAAAGCCTACCTTCTGAGAAACTCTTAAATTGCCCCATACTTGTCTCACACACAGCCAACTACAACTACCCCTAACAACTGAGGAAGGGTCACTGGACCCAAAACATTAACTCTGATTTTTCTTCACAGATGCTACCAGACCTGCTGAGCTTTTCCAGCAACTTCTGTTTTTGTTCCTGATTTGCAGCATCCACAGTTCTTTCGGTTTTTACAACTACCCCATACCCCTTACACCCCTAGACCCTGACCCGACAACATCCGGAACTCAAGCTGCTTCACCTGCTCTGCCCCAACCCTTTACCCCGCATTGCCTTTGACCCCCACCTCCACCCACCAGATTGCCCTGTCATACCCAACCGGACCCAACTCTACTGCTGGACCCAATCCAATTTGAACTGCCACCCCATCCTCCGTGATCTGACTATGCCCCCCACGCTGGCCTCAACCCGACCCTGCTGCTCTGCCAGTAGACCCAACTCGAACCAGAAACGTAGAGCTCCTTTTTGTTAAAAATAAGGGACTGTGTGGGACTGCCACTCCTTGGAAAATCTAGTCTCAATAAAACTAGTAAATTATAAAAGATGAGAGAGAGAGAGAGAGATGCACAGAATTGAGATCAGGTGATGAAGCGTTAGGTCCAACAGATGCAGGGGCAGAGGGAATCAGGGGAAGGGTTGTGGAAGATGGAGCTGAAAGTGATGTTATCAGCAGTGGGGATGCGGGTTGGTGCTCCAAAAGGAAGCCAAGAAGATCCAAATAGGGCAATCAAAGAATATGGTGAATGATGGAGATACAAGGCTAGAAAATGCAGAAGGGATAGAGTGGGCCAAGGCTGTGGAGAAATTTAAAGACAGAGACAGGATTTTAAATATGAACCATCTTGGATCAGTGAGGTTGGGCTGGATGGGTGATTGGGACTGCATGTAGGACAGGGTAGAAGAAATATTTTAGACAAGTTGGAGTCAACGGTGGTTAACAAGCCAGATTTTAGATTCTTAAGGCATGGATTGAAATGCTAAGTTGCTGTGAGCTACATATTCTAAAGCTGTTCTCAACAATCTTCCATTTTAAACTCTTCCAAATCTGTTCCATTTGCTCATCACCCTTGTGCTTGCTGGCCTATGTTAGCCCCTAATCTGATAACATCTCAGTGTTAAAATTCTCACCTTGTTTTCGTATCCCAAAATAGCCTCTTCCACTCTCTATCTCTGTAATCCCCTTCAGCCCCTGAAATTCTCTGAGGTCTCTACAACTTCCAATCCTAAGATCTTGCGTGATTCCAATTTCCTTCATACTGCTATTGGTGGCTGACCGGCTGGGTCTTGAACTATACACACTCTCAGCTATGGAATGTGTGCTGATTGGGACATTAGTTTAAATGAGCTTCAAACATCTTCCATTTAAAGAAGTAAATATGATGCATAAACAGTGCAAACATATCATTGTCTTGTTACAGTATCCTATCCGTTTTGTTTCATGGTGGTTTGGTTTGTTCATAATCAGGTATTGCTATGCGGTGTCCATCTGGAACTGCTCATCTCCAATGCTCCATGAGACTGGGCTGTTGGAGGAAGGAGTGAAGAACAGCCAACAGGAAGATGTGAGATCTCTGAGTAGACATCAACCTGATTTTTCTTTAATAATCACAGAATACTGGGGATGGTGGAGATCTGAAATTTAAAAAAAAACACGAAGTGTTGGAGAAACTCAGCCAGTCTGGCAGCATTTGGAGAGAGAGGAAAAATAGAGTTAATACTTTGAGTGCAACATGACGCTCCTTTGGAACTGAAAAGAGGTGGAAATATGATGTGTTGATGTTGAGAATGGGTGGGAGGGGAGTGTAAAGCATAACAGAAGAGACTGACAGAGCAAAGCACTTGGATTCATGACAGCAGAACCTCAAAGGGCTTTTCTCTCTCAGTTGTCCTCATCTTGGAAGACAGCACCTTGTGAAGAAAACAACTGTTCACCAAGAACTCAAAGATACCCAAAGATGCTGCTGTAGATATGAGTCATCAATTAACCAAATGTGGATGCCGATTTAAATTCTAACACCTCAAAGACTCTGGATTTTAACTGCATACCCTGATTTCCCCCAGTTATACTCTCTCTCCCCTTTTTAAAATTATTATCTCCAGCTATATGTATGTTTGATCTTATGTCCCATTACTTTTTTTTCTCAAGGTTATTTGTTTCTTTCCCTCAAGAAAGCCTTGTAAATGGCTCCTTCATTTTGATTTGCCAACTACGTTTTAGTTGACATGTTATAGCTTCACGCTAAAAAAGAAATAAAAATACTTACTGTGACTGACCTGAGGAGGTTTAGAGGGGAAGGTGACAAAAACAGGATAAGATTAGAAAATCATTAAAAAAGGAATACAGTGTTAATTAATAAGCAGCCAGTGACATTTGGTTCCAAAAGGATTGACACAGGAAAATGTAACACTTCAGAATCAGTTTCTAATTTCATTATGAACTGAAATGTAATAACCTGGCTCAGCTGTTTACAGCAATGAGGAGTTGAGTATACAGAGCAGGAT